CATAATCTCACTGGTTTTATCTTCCTACTCATGTGTTAGCCGAGTACCTTGGCTTCTCTACATACCCACCTGCATTCCTAAGCCGAGAAGCAAGCAACGAGAATCTCCTGATCGGCGCCAACTTTGCATCAGCTTCTTCAGGATATTATGATGCAACATCTGTTCCATTTGTAAGGGAGACAACACAGTAAAACACCAACACACATGCCCAAGAAATGATCCATAACGCTTTGCTCTTTCTTTTGCAGGGCTCGATCTCTTTAACCAGACAGCTGAGCTATTACCGGGCGTATCAAAACAGAGTGACAAGCATGATTGGGAGGGAGAACGCACGCAGGCTGTTCTCTAAAGGTATCCACATTTTGAGCGCGGGTTCTAGCGACTTTCTTCAGAACTATTATGTCAATCCTCTGCTCAACATCCTAAATACACCTGCTCAGTTCTCGGACATTCTCATGAGATCCTACTCAGACTTTATCCAGGTACTTCTAAGTTTAGTAACGAACTTTAGAACCCTAAGGCAACCGTATGAAAATGTGCAAATTTACAAGAAACAAACAACTCGTTTCAGTTATTTACCCTTTTGTCTGTCAACAAGAATCATACTTTCACTTGTAACAGAATCTGTATGAACTAGGAGCAAGGAGAATCGGAGTGATATCGCTACCGCCAATGGGTTGCCTGCCTGCAGCTATAACTCTTTTTGGAGCAGGAAACAAGAGTTGTGTCGAGAGGCTGAACAACGATGCCGTCATGTTCAACAGAAAACTTGAGACCACAACCCAGATGTTGATGCACAGACACTCAGGCCTCAAGCTCGTCGCCTTTAATGCCTACCAACCTCTCCTGGACATCATCACCAACCCATATGAAAACGGTATGCCCCTGCATACACAACTTTAAACACGTATTCAACTTTCAACCATGATACCGTTAGATTTTTACAGAGAGAACGTCTCAGATATTTAATCTAAATAGCAACTAACAAGATACCATTAACATTTTAAAAATGTTTAAACTGCATGTAATGTCAGGATTCTTTGAAACAAAAAGGGCATGCTGCGGAACAGGAACGATAGAAACATCATTCCTTTGCAATTCTCTATCCATAGGAACATGTTCAAATGCCACAGGGTACGTGTTCTGGGATGGATTTCATCCCACAGAGGCCGTGAACGAGCTGCTGGCTGGTCAACTACTGGGTCAAGGGATATCTCTAATCTCTTGAATTGAATTCCATCCTTGTTGGATTGAATTCAAACTGTATACCTCCAAATAGCTACCAATGTGTGTCTCTCTGTATTCTCTCTTTAAATATATACATTATTAACTTCGTAAAGTCACAAATAAGAGAGACTGTGTGCGTGTGAGTGTGAATGTAGAAACTACCAACCTGGTCCCTGTAGGTCCAAGATTTGTTAGATAAGATCACAATCTGGTATTTTATTTGTGTGCTTAATTTATCACTGGAACATCTCTCAGGCTCCTTATAGTAAGAATTTGGCAAAGCTATAAATAAATATGTCAAAGTTTGATATATGCACATCATGAAACATTCACGTCTGGTTAAACATATAAGATGTAAGTTCTTTTCCATATCAGAATAATCATATACCAACAACCAAGAAGAACCAAGTTCTAACCAAAAAAACTCTTTGCAGCAGCCCCAGTGATATAACTGACAAGCAATTACAGGATAAGTACCTGGTCAGAGGTCTCTAGGAGAGTTCAAATCCTGCATTTGAAGTAATCGCATACAATAGTTTCTCCCTCATAGTGCTTGCTCGTTTATACGTCGGAAGCTGAAGCCATCCACAAAGAAAGATTGAACAAAACAGGTACATGAATCTTCACAAGTAGAAAATTAAGACAACAGAGCAATAGAAACTCCACCTTAAGAGTATTGTAACACGTAGAAGCAGATGGGAGCCTTTCTACATCTTGTCCCCCAATAGCAGCCCAAAGAGAGGTATCACAAGAGACCTTCAGAAGACGGATGTCAGAAAAAAATTACTAGACAGAAAATCATATATAATTTTTTAAGAAGCCAAAGTTCAAAGACAAACTTTATGGATGATGAAGGTTGGCTGCAAGTATTTGAAACCTAGGAGTGGAGCCCGAGAACAACTAGTCACAAATTTGAGGAGCATGCAACGTTCACTCGGTTCAAACCCTTTCATGACCTGAGACAGGATGCCAAGAGAGAAATTAAACAAGAAATGCACAAGCTCTCAGCGTATGTCATTAAGAAAAAGAAGAGATCAGGGCTTCTGATTTGAGTCATTACCTCCCAAAAGATTTTGATTGTTCGACTGCTATCAGTGTAACCACCAGTGTATTTTGTATTCTTTCTAAGGTCATCAACATCGATATCATGGTTTCCTCCAGAGAGTAACTGCACAAAGTAATTTTTGTAAGACAATAGCTTTGTACAAGAGAAAAAACTCAAGAAATCATTACAATAGAGGCAAATACCTGATTAAATTCATGGGCGTTAAATAGTTTCAACCAAGCAGGAGAAATAAGGTCCGTCAATCCTCTGTAAAATGCATTTGAAAAGGGCACAATCTGCATTCAAGACACAGGAAAACATGATTACCTCATTATGCAGTAAATAATATTTTGTAGTATCATTGGCCTTAGATTAAACAAAGAGACGAGACCTGCCGGTTGAGTTTATAGTCAGCCATTGCATGAATATACTGCATTTTGTTTTCATTCGTTACTGAAACATCCTTCCCACCAGGCTTAAGCTCAATTATGCTCATTTTCCCACAAAACTCTTCAGTGACTGTGAAATCGAGACAGAGTTCCTTCAAGTCACCATCATAATACTGCGTACAAACAAGAGTCTTAATCTCACAAACTGTCTCTTGTGATACTTACGCAAGATTGATTTTTGACAAATGAGGTGACAGATTTATCACCTGAAATGGTTTTTACCTTGATATACATAAGGTTCCTGTAGAGCTCCGGATCAAGCCCTGATAGTTCATCAATAAAGCTATAGCGTCCCAAAAGCTTCTGGATGAAAACGTGTGAAAAAGAGTAATCCAAAAGTATTCCCTCGTATAGAGCTTTTCCAACAATTCTTCCAAGAAACTCAATCATCTGAATTCCGTTATCAAGGTGCCGAGCAGATGAGCTAGGAACAAGCAACCTATCCGACGTAGTGGTTTGGGAGAATAACCCATACCTTGTAGAAAAGAATATAATTGAAATGCCAATAAATGCAAAATTTAACCCACTGGAGAAGTAACAATATAGATTATAATAAAGCACGCATACAGAAAAGCTTACTCGGTAGCAAAAGCGGCTTTTGTTATGTCAGTCAAAAACTCTTTTGAAAGCCCTCCATAGTCTAGGCCAGCTTCAGGAAGGCCAGATTCATTCACAAACGAGACATGGATGGAGGATTTTAGCCTGCTACCAATAGAATTCAGTTGTTGAAATCCATCCTCAACCACATGACCTCGACGAACGACTATCTCGATTGACCTCGCACCAGGTGCATCCACTTCACCAGCCATTTTCCTGGAAGCTTTATCCATGCTTATAAACTCTCTAAACACATGAACCCTGCAGGAATAACAAAATTGTAAATAAACATCATTCAACAGATAACGAGAAATAAGGAGGCAGGTAACAGTTAGTTAGAACTTAGAAGTTATTGTAGCATGAAAAAGACATGGATATCAGGCTATAAGGGTAAGCAATGTCAAAGTACCTTTCCTCAAATGGAAAGATATGCGGAGTAATTGTTATAACAGAACCCATGCTTGGAGACGAAAAAACATCACTGGCTGGTAAAACCTCATGAGTTCTTGCAGCAAATGCAATTGGAGGTCTACTAGTTCTAGCAGGTGAGAGCCACAAGGCAGAAGGACAAAAAGGGTGTCTGCAATCTCTTTCATACAGTAAATGCAAACATCTGATAGCAGAATCCATCAGTTGTCTATTCTCCGGACTTGTGCCTCGCAACAATCCATTGTACCCGAGTGTGTTAAGCATTGATGCAATTCTCCGCTGTTTCTCTAGCATAAATGGGACCTATATCATGCCAAAACAAACCTCTAGTAAATATCAGAGTAAGAACATATAAGCTGCAGGAAGCCATATTGCGTATTTACCTGCTTTTCATAAAACTGTATGTCATCAAGAACAACGAGTAAATGCGCATAGGTTGCACAAAATAGATGAAGCAGGCATGACACATCCTTGGAGATACCTACAGGACCACTCCTCAGAGTTTCCACATCCCATTCATCGCTAGTTGATTCGTTAACCTGGCTTGGCCCTGGTTGATCACTAGTACAGTCCACATGTTCACGCGGTTCTGGTGATTTACCAGAAAATTTGTTTAGCACATTCACCCACTTGTTGACACCGTCATTCTTAAGATGTTTCAATTTCTTCTCAGAAGGACTTCTTGTATTCCCTGAAGTTTTAACAGATCCAAGGGATGAATCGTCAGTGGTGCAACCATTTTCAGGAAATAGGACACCCTCTAGAGAGCTCCACAAAGAGACAATGTATCCAGGGCAGAAGGATAACATGTTAAGGACAGGCAAAGGCCCTACAACAGGATTCAGCACGCAGAAGATTCTCAACATGCATGAATAGAACCGAGTAATATCAAACAGTGCTAGTGTTTCTGATCCATTCTTACTACTCGTTGACACATCTTTATCTGCTATAACACGAATTTCTTTCCCAGAAGCTGCCAACAGTTTCGCGAGATGCCACTGTTGACATACTGGTCGAAGCAGTTCCACAAACGAAATCCTAACAGAATTTTCTCCCTTCCCAGTCGCATCTGATGTGGCCTCAAAATCAAGATGATTATTCTGAATTCCAACATTTTCAACCTGAGACATGAGATTCTCGGCGAGAGTCACAATAACATGAACATACAAGACATAAAACATCCCTGGATTGGATTCTTGTGGGTCCATAAAATCGGTTTCACTAACTGTTGCCAGGGATATGATGTTCCCAATAGCCCATCCGACAGAAGGTATCTCCATGCTACTTTGCTTCTCTAAAAGCTCTACTTCCGATAGTCTGGTCAAGATTTTGTCCCTCAAAATCTGCAGTCACCTGCCAAAACTTAATAAGTCCTTCGATTGTATGTTAAAAAAAAGGCAACCAGTTACAAGTCAACCCAAAACTTTGTGAGACTTTGACAAGAAATTAATTGGTCTAACAAAATTTGATATGAATTTTACCAATATAGTGTGAAAGCTTGGCATTGGTATGCTCTTGTGCTCCAGTGCACGTAGGAAACGAGTCAAGGAATTGTCAGTATTAGAAAAACATATTCTTCAACAGCCAAATTCGTGTACGGTTGATTGTCATCAACAAAAGCAGGCTGTCTCGCATGGAATGGTCGTAGAGCCAAAGTTACAGCACTTGTAGTAATCAATAGTCTCTCATCTGTTTGTTTGGTTAATGTCTTGATATATTTTCTAACTGCTGTGTAATATCCACTTTTCCAGCTCCCTATAAACTGGATAATCATCTTTCCAGCTGTTTCTGCATCTTCAAAGTTGTCCTTTGTAATGATCTTCCAGCTTTTGGAATCAGTTAAAACAATAAGGATACGTAACACTAGGGCACTGACACCAAGAACATCTTTTATTCTTTCCTGTGAATAATTACACTCCATGAGAAGGAAAGAGCAGAGAGAAACCAGCCTTCGTGTTTGGCAGGCCCATGTTTTACTCTCTTCAAATGTATCAACTGCTAGTGAACAAAAATTGGACCCCTGATCTGAAAAAGACAATAACAGCAACCATTCAAGATATATTTCTGTTCTGATTTTGCAAGACCAATGATTCAAACGAAAGAAAAAACAATCATACCATTAGAGTTGATGCTTTCCAAAAGAATCTTAAAGCAAGCTTGCATGCAGTGTATATCTCTTGCCAGTATCTTTTGATGTTGGACAGACAACGATCTAATAAAGAAGAGAAATGGTCTCAATACTCTGCTTGACACCCAACTTTTGGTCACTGTATCAGAATGACAACTCAGTAAACTCTCCCACTCCCCCCGGATCTCTATAGCAGCCTTCTTTCTCACAATGTATGACCTCCAAACTCTCTACAAGTATTGGAAAATGACGTAAGTTTATGCCTTCGTCTATGCAACTGAGATAAAGTTCCATTTAAACCACAAATCACATCCGTAGATTCCAACTCAGAACAATCCTAACAATGTACTACAAAATGATGATCGCAAGCTTAGCCACTTCTTCCAATACAAACAATCAAATAGATGCGGTAGAACAAAACTGCACAAAACGTTCTACTATCTGTTCACCACTCAAGCTGGATGTTTAGAGAGACTCATAACGGTAATCGCGATACACTACTTCAGCCAGAGTCAAAAGAACGAAGTACCTGAATATAAAGTACTGCAGCATTAGCACGTCTTGCGTAACTTCGTAGCTCCCTTTCTTGTGAGACTTTAGCAAGCAAAGCATCCCTTGACATCTCCCCACTGCTTGCACCTCTAAGGGACACCTAATGAGAGTTCATTTAACAAATCACAGATACATTGTCATGCACCAATTTAGAACATTAAATCGAACTTAGATCAGAGAGCGAACCAAAACATTATTTCAATTCTCCTATACCTATATAGTAATCTCACTCAATTCGAATAGTCTAGGTTCCAAAATAAGGAATCTGCTTCAAAATTCCTAAGAACCCTAAGTTTTCCTTGAATTACGGAAAGAAAAGAAATCGAGATCGACCCGAAAGGAGATTATCATCAATTTGTCGTGAAGATTATTCGATGAGAAGAAGAAAGAGCGTACCTTGTGCTTGCGATTGAGGTCCATTGGAGTCGGAAAATACAGAGAGGAAGCTAATATTTGTCTCTGGGTCGACGTCAAAGATCGAACGAAGCCACTTGGTACAACTCGAACCAGTTAATCTATTTAATTAACTACTGAGAAATGATGTAAGCAAGGGTTTGGTTAACATAAAATTAGTTTAAGAATTGGGTGTAAATTGAGCAAATTAATATTTACTGGTATTAAATGTAAATTAGAGAGGCGATTTTGGCATAATTAGAAAAAAAAATTATGAAAATAGGCCAAAAAAACAATAAAATTAACAAAATAGGCTAAGTTTTTTTTTAATTAAAAAAATAAGCTAATATTGATATTTTTATCTTTTTTTTAAATAATTAACAATAGATAATAACCTACGAGAATTTACAGGAACTATATACAATCGAAATTAACCTAGTTAATAATATGTTTATCAACGAAGCATATAACTAGCCGTAAACATATTATCTAACTATAGTAACTAGCATATGTAAACTAGGTAAACTCTACTGAAATTTTACCAACGAAGACAACATAATAGTAAATTACTCTTTTATTAACACTAGCATTAATAATTTGGATTTCTCCGATGTAATTAAAATGTACATGAAGTCATCACTATTCCCTTTGTCTTCAATGTTATTATCAGAACATTGTTTTCCAATCTGAAAATTTATGAAAATCATTACAATCAGCGTATCATGACTAGATTGTAAAAAATAACACAAAGAGGATAAAGAGTTCCAGTGTTTACTAATTGAAGCTTCTTCGAGGCGATTGACAATCGGTTCGGCTAAAGAGTTAGCTTCTTCGCGGCGTTTCGGTCAGTTCAAGTAATAAATTCTGGTGGCAGATGAGCAATGCTTAGACGTGGGCTAGTTTTACGTTGACGGAATATTGGAATTCAAGGGATCGATATTGAAAAAATTGCTACGCTATGGAAAGGCTTTGTTTTTCTGATCACAAACAACAACGACAATG